GGGGGCCTGCTTATGGGATGGCGTCAGGACCTGGGGGCTGCTTATGGGATGGCGTTGCCGGGCGGCGAGGCCCGGGCTCATTGGCTGCCTGTCCTGTTCTCCTCAGTAAAGGTCGGCTCCATTTATCTTTGTGCCGAAATCCGACCGATTCCACGCTGTCAGCAGTGGGGGCACCGAGGGACCAGGAAGCCCGGAAGCCATTAATCACGGAGAATGGAATCCCACCCCCCGCTCTACCAATCAGCAGCTTTTAATGTCAGGACAAATGATTTCATTAATGGGGCAGGGGGTGGGCAGTGAAGACGCTGTTATGTTTTGGAGACCAATCTCCTCACCTGACCTCTGAGTGGGGGGGGAATCACGGGGGGGGGGGGTCTCGGCGGAAGGAGGAGCAGTTCTAATCACCATGCTCAATGCCGGCTGGCTTTCCCAGCTTCTCCTCTTCCACTGGGAGGGTATGGGCCAGTGGGGGGGGGCGGGGTGTCTGTCCCAGGATCTTGCTGCTCTCTGTCACACACAGGAAGTATGTTTAATGGCCGGAATGATGCAGTGCATTCATCTGTGGTGGATTAATATGGCCCTCATGCATTATGGGTGCTACGTTTTCCCACCGTCAGGGATACAGCGGGTCCATCTTTCTTGTGCCGTGCTCTGCAGAGTCATGGCGCCAAGCGGCGTGCTGCTGGCCTGCTGGGGGCACTGGGTCCCCGTCTGGTCCCTCGCTGTCTGGGTGACCTTATCCAGGGCTCTTTGTACTGATCTCAGTGCGACTTATGTTTTGTGCTGGAACCTCCTCACCATGGTAAACTCGGGCATTAGAGTCAGAGGGGTGGCACCATGTGCTCACAGGAACTGGGTGAAGGTTGCGGCCCACCCCCCCACCCCGCCACCTCAGTCCAGGTCCCCCTTGTAACACGTCGTCTCCCTACCCCCCTCCAGGTGTAAAAACAAGCTGTACCCGGACGAGCTGCCTCGCACGAGCGTCGTCATCGTGTTTCACAATGAGGCGTGGAGCACCCTGCTGCGCACCGTGCACAGCGTCATCGACCGCTCACCGCGCCGCCTGCTGGAGGAGCTGGTGCTGGTGGACGACGCCAGTGAGAGAGGTGGGCACTGGGGGGCGGGGACACTGGGGGGCGGGGACACTGGGCACTTTCCCTTCTTATTGGATTAAACAAAACACGTGCACACACATGCATTGTTACATTTCCATTTAAAGAGCTTCTCTGCTTTAGCACATTCATACAAGCAGAATTAATTTCCTCATCCCAACCAAAATGACTGCTTTTAGTTTCTTTTTCACTCCAGTTTGTATCAGAATATTTCAGACTTTATCTTACTACTGATTGATTGCACACATATGCATGTGTTCCCTTGGAAGGAGGTCACTCTTAAACTAGTAGCCAGTGTCAGAGTAGTGGCAGTGAAGGGGGTGGTGACTCTCTGTCTGCAGGGGGTGGTGACTCTCCGTCTGCAGGGGGTGGTGACTCTCCGTCTGCAGGCGGTGGTGACTCTCCGTCTGCAGGCGGTGGTGACTCTCCGTCTGCAGGCGGTGGTGACTCGCCGTCTGCAGGGGGTGGTGACTATCCAGGACTCTGCACCATCACATCCAGAAGGCGTTAATGAGGCCTGAATAATTATCCGGT